TCGATCTGTGTCACTCCGCCTGACCTTTTGCATATTGCGAGGGTGGCTTGCGTAATAGCCCAAAGAGGGGTCAAACGGAGCTCATGACAATGGTAAGAATTTATTCCCCCTTTCTTTCCATACTCTCAGTGAGAAAGATTACATTGATATTCCCTTTCAATGACTGGTCTTTTTTTTTTGGGGGGCGAACGCTTCGAGATGGAGTTGTGAACAGTGTTGCTTTTGAATCAACACGAATTTTGCAAGCGAAGCCCAAGAAATTTCCAATTACAATCAATTGCAAGGCCTCAAGTGCATTCGAGGGTGAGACACATTTGTCCCAGTGAGGACAAATAAACATGATTCTCCTTTAATTTGCGTTGGTGAACCACAAGGGATGATAAACGAGTGCTCGAGTACAAATAAAAAGCATTCAACCTTATTGGATTTCCATTTTAAAACTAATGGGACTTTTTTCTCTCGATCCCATGGGGATGCTTCGCCATCCGAATGTTATTCTTGCGCCTCATTTCGCTACGCAAATACCCAGGCCACAAGGAGTCCCTCGAATACAGCGCTCAAATATATATCTATGTATTTCCTTCTTTGACACTCAATTCCACTATTGCGACAATTCAGGAGGACTCAAATAGACTTAATGGCGTCTCGATTGTCCTCGCTGGAGGAGTGGAAAGGAGAAAATGTGAGAAGAAATGAAGAGAAAGAGAAAAAAAAAACGGGTGAAGGACTCTCCTTTTCTCTCATTCAATTAAATTAAATTTCCACTCAAATAGACGACATTTGCAAACGAGGACTTTCCATACAAATTTCCTCTATTCAATGTTTGAAAATGAGTGGTGAAATAAATCCCAATTGAGATGTCGTTGATGCCATGAGATGACACGGAAAATTCCTTTTTTATCCCCGCCACATGGATAATGAAGCACTTAGTGAATCATCCTTGCGTGGATTATTTCTCCAGAGAAATCGTCATGTGGCAAATCAGTCATATTTTAGAGCCCTCCACAAGACATCTGTCGCCCGCCCTTCGCATCATTCATCTCGTTTTCAAGTGCAAATTTCGCCGATGAGACTCAAAATGCACACTGCATGAGATACTTTCACGTGAAATTGATGGGAATTGCAGATGAAGAGTCTTTGGGATTCCTTTATCGTGTTTAATAAAATACATGAATTCTGCAGCTTTTCTCTATAGTTCAATGCTAAATCGCAAAGACAGTGAACTTCTCAAAGGTTTTCTATACAAAATATTGCCCAACTTCTTCACCCTCTGACTGGTAAAGTTTGTGAATGAAGAAGAAAATGTAGCTGATAGGAAACAGACTAAAATCTCCCTTCTTCGATAAATCTTCCCATTGATTGCATATGAGGAGAGATAAAGGGAAAAAAAGAAGTGTATCAGTGGACATTGTGAGCCCACCTTGTCCATTGGTTGCATTTGGAAAAGGTGGATAAAAAGGCCCAAGAGACACACCACAAAAGACAACTAATAAAGCGCTGAGAAATCGATAAATAAAGATTAGTGAATACCTGAGGATGATTCTCCAGATTCTTTCTCATGGTGCGATGCATTTGGCTATAGCGACACCATTCACCAAACAGAGGTGCACTTTTGTCCATCAATGGTATTTTGGATATGTTTATTCTCTGGATGAATGGCCAGAGTCAGTGGTGGAGGAGAAAAGGTTGATTCTGATGCCATGAATGGATTGAGGGTTGTTGATTAAAAAGACACACTCTGGACTTCAGAGAGGGTGAGAGAAGAGGCTTTTCTTTCACATCGCCCGGCCAGAGCGCGCGTATTGAGGAATTTAATTGGAAATGCAGAGAAAACTGAACACATCAATTTGTCCCTCATTATTGGGGCATTTGAAAAGGCTCTTTGGCGCGAAGGTATGAGCACACTGTTATCCAATTATCAAGCATGTAGAAATTGCCTCTTTGGCCAAGATCCAATCGATTAGCTTTCATGGCATCTATTTAAGCTCGTTGGATATTTTCACTTGATTACTCTGCCTCAATGTTTGATTGCCGAAATTCGACGATTCGCCTGGAGAAGGGAGAGTTATTACATTTTAATGTGTGCGGCCCTCGTGAGGCTGCGTGTATCCAACAAAGGCCAGGATGATGAGCAACATCTGTTAATTAAGAAGTTTTGGAGGAAAGGCAGCCCATTTCTGACACTGCGTACGCTGGACGCTAAAGCAAATACTCTGGAAAAAAAATGAGAAGAAGAACTGATGGCAAGTTGAGAAGAGAGGGGGCAATAATGAAAATATTTTGTTATTCCTCGTCTTTTTTGCTGCCCTGCGCGCGATCCCCAATGGTAATTCACCGTCTCTGTGCTATCTTCAATATATATGACTTGCATTTCTCTCATTCACAGCATTGCGCCATTATTGGGTGAAACGGAAGTTTAATTTTCTCCATTTTATTCACCGACTCTTTCTTTCCACCCATTTTTCTCAACGCGCTCAGACCTTTTGTTGTTCCACCGAGTATTTTCCTTTCATTAAAACTAACTCACACAGCTTTTTTTCCATCATTTCTTCTCCTCTTTCATATTCGACTTTTTTTTCTCCCCCCAACCGCGTCTGCCGCAATGAAAAACCACCCCTCTGTCGACTTTGGGGGTGGCTTTTTTCTCCCAAACAATTCCCTCTGTCTTCCATTCGCTGACTCGAGTTGGTGATGACGATGTGTTTGAAACATTGTAGGGAAATTTACACCGCACACGCATTATCATTATGAGAACGTTCCAATTATGTGTTTCACTTTGCACTGGAGGTTATGAGGAAATTGGATCGCTTCCTAATACATTTCCGGTTGTAATTCATCGACGGGGGAGGTTAGAAGTGCGGCGAGGTGTTATCTTGATGATGTATAATCTTGGTTAACCCCAAGAAGTGTAAACATCTCAGTGCGTAGAGCGAAGAGGAAATACAGAGATTTGCTTGCGGCTTGTGACGTCACCGCTCTCCTCTCCACAGACTGTGAGGTTTACACTCCTTGGGTTAATCTTATTCCATCTCGTGCATCGTTAAGCAATATAATTAATTAATTTCTGGCCTGGCTTGGGATAAAACTTTTAATTCTAATTTCAATCAACGGATGAGCGCAAAATGAACCCATTCAGAATTGAAATGAGGGTTAACGGAGTAAACTCGGTTGAACTTATTCACTTCTGCATACTTTGTTCTCCATTCTTACATATTTCAGCAGCCACAGCAATTTGAACTTAAACCGTCTCATCTCCTCTTCACACGGGGAAAGTCTAGCAGGATGCTAAAATTGGTGACCCATCGACTCTTGTGGGATTCAACTGACACACAATCACGCCCAGAAGAATGGCCCACCCGTGAGTTTTGCGGCGTGAGAGGGTGGATTTTTGAGGATGAAATAAAGCGTCGATTGGAGGGTTGAAAGTTTCGCCTCAATAATAAGGTGAGTTCTTTTTAATATCTGTCAAATGCAGGAGAAATCCAGAGATTTCCCTAAACAAGTGCCACACAATAGGCGTCAGGACCATTATTTCATGGTAGGAATTTTCCTTGTTCGAAAACATTGATTTCCATGGTTTGTGCTTCTGTGTGTGAAATTCTCAGGGAGGAACTTTAAACGTGTGATGGCTTTAAATTTCGATTTTTAGTGAGAAGTTTAGGAAATGAGAAAAAGGTGGAAATCAAATTTTCTTTTGAGCTTTCTCGCGGCATATTCTTTCGATTGACAATTCCCGGTGGAGCAACAATGGGAGTTCTTCTGCAGAAAGCTTCATTCTTCCCATTTTTTACCCCCTCGAGCCTCTTCCATTTGCCTTTCATCATTCTTATTATTTAGCTTATTGTACACTTCTTTTCCACCCGCATTTTTCTTTTCATCGCACTTTTCCTTTGACGACTGCACGGAAGGAAAGTGACACTGAGGAAAATAATTTTCAAGCATCCTTGAGGTACTTTAGTTGAATTTTTCGTGTTTTCCGCAGTGCACGACTCTTCTTATTGGCAATTTTTCTCAAACTTTTTCTGGTGGAAGGCAGATTGAAATTCTGACGGGAAAAGTTGCCTCACCATTGATGCATTTTCTGCTGCCAGAGCAACTTCGGCACACAAAGAGATTGTGACAAGGAGGAAGATTTTTAATATTACCTATTTGAATGTGGGGGTATTTCACGTGAAACAAGAGAATGGCCTGAGTTGAAGAAAAGTTCACACCTCGTGCGGAGAAAAGGAGTCTCTATGGATATCCTGTCTTTTGTCCTCGCAACTCATGGTGCAAGAATGGCGAGAAGAAAGGCTCAATATAGTTGTGTATTGATGTTATTGATGAGGAGCAATTGTTTGCGAAAAAAGAGCCTGTGCGTATTTTCGGGACTCTCTTTCTCGCTTCGCCATTGTCTGGGGTGTGTATAATCGCAAACCTATAATCTATGACACGTTCAAAGGAATGCATGTGAAGGTCCTGGCAGGAAGTCCAAGACAACGAAGCACCTCTTCGAGTATCCACCAGAGTTAATGCTACCCTTTGAGGTGCTAAAAGTCGCACTCAATCCTGCGCTATGCGCGATAATTACAGTGTGTGACGCGCTGAATCATGGGGCGAAATGAAGGGGTTTCCATTCAATGGTCACTTATTTTAATTGTCGCCTTGTGTGAAATTGAAAATCAATTCGTTTTTCACACAAATCCGTCACATTTTTTTCGGGTGTTGTTGTGCTCCAGAAAACGGGGCGGATTTGCCAGCCCATTGGAGTGTCTAAAAGACTGTGACAACCTGTAATTTCGTATTATGTTTCATGCACGAATGTTCACACTCTCACGATTTTTTTTTTAATATAGGTATGTGCAGTTCAATTCGTCTAGACAAATTCAGTGTTTTCCCCAGAGATTTTGAGTACTGTTTTGAAAAGAAAACCCTTGAGAAAACCAATGGTTTCTTCAATGCACACACACAGAATGTTTTCAAGCGACTTTATTAGACACAACAATCAATACAATGATCTCTTAGACAATGTTAGATCTGCTGGGGATTCCCTCTCTAGCTGTGACTGAGTACTCATCATAGAAATCTTGACCCACGCGAGACTCCTTGTCGATGTGGAGATAAGGTCCTGAAACGTTAGTCATTGGTGGCCAGAAGGGAACGTCTGGGGCGGAGGGAACTCCATCAATGGCAAAGGATGTCCACAGATCTACCATCTTCTTGGCAAACTCCGTGTCTTCCTCATTCAGTTGCGCCACTTCCGGAGGCCAGGGAAATAAGTAGATGTTGTCATTGGAATGCGTGACGCCACCTTCGAAAGGATACGCGGAAGTGTCTTCTCCGTAGCCAAATCTTGTGTGTTCTCCTTCGTAGTCGAAACTGTAGAGCCAAGTCTCACCGGAATTGAAAAAAGAATTGCCTTGGGCAGCTCTCATGACTGGTCCTTTGATTATCGCCACGCCACAGTGATCCACAAGGCCATTCACAAAGTCCTGGAACACACCGCCGGAGATCTGTTCTTGGTTCCACAAGCTCTTGGACAGGAATCCTGTCAAAGTTCCCGTGTAGTCTGTAATGCCGAGGATTCTGTTCGTCAAGTCAATCAATTGGAAACTGTTGAAGCGATGATTTCCAGTGCCTATAGTCTGATTTATGATATCGTATACGCCGATAAGAGCGAATGTGCCCTCATTCTTTGTGGCGCCTGTCATCATCCTTAGATTCTGTCTTCCTCCGCCACTCATCATGATGTCAAATGGACTGGCGGGAAGGAAGTTCGAGGGGCCCCCAATTGTCATCTTATCTCCTCCGTACGCATTCAGGCCATTCGGAGCGTTGGCCATCTAGAGAATTCAGCAATTTAGACTTACTTAGAATCGCAGTTTTACGCTCTTCGGTATATACTTACCATGTGGTTCGCGTAAGCAGCCCACAAATTGAAGAGACTCATCCCTTTGAGGCACTCTTCGAACTCCTCGTCTGTCGAGTTGTAGTTGCAACCACCCTTCATGGCTATTATCCTGGCATTCTCCTGCGGTGTGTCATCCCAGGTCCATGTCGCTTGCACTCCTCCTGATTGAACTATCACTTGATGGTAGAGTCTCTCGTCAACGACAGGACTGTAGGCCAGGGCATTGATAAGTCCCGCTCCTGCCGACTGTCCCATCAGAGTGACTCTGTTGGGATCTCCTCCGAAGGAACTGATGTGCGCTTGCACCCACTCGAGGGCGAGGATCACGTCGAATATGGCTGCATTTCCTGGCAAATTCTCACTCTTCATGGAGAGGAATCCCAGCGGTCCCAAGCGATACTGTACCACGACCAGGACGATGTCCTTCTCGAGTAAATACCCCGGCGGATAGCTGTGGGCTGATCCCATGACAAACGCTCCTCCGTGAATGTAGACGATAACAGGCAGTCTGCCAGATAGCTGTAATCAAGAGAATTGGTGTACAGATTAGTGGAAGCCTTAGGAAGATATGCAATTTAACTCACGTTCTTCGTATAAACGTTGAGTGTTAGACAGTCTTCGGCATCTGGTTCGATACTCTCTGGTGGGCTGCTCAGGATGCCAATGCCTGGACAGGCTCTTCCCGGTCGAGTAGTGTCTCTTAACTCGGTCCATGTGGCTTTCGGTACAGGTAGCTAAAAGCGTGGGTTTGTTAAAATTGCACTTCTTGCCAGCAAATCGCCTCTTTACCTTATATCTCAACTCTCCGGATGGTGATTCGCCATATGGAATGCCCAGAAACTGGAATACAGTGGATTGTGTCCATGCTGTTTCCGAAACAGAGCCAACAATCGGTCCCATGCCTGGGACACGCACAGACAGAGTCTCAACTGTTGGTTTAGCCACGGCAAAGGCCGGGAGGAGATAAAGCAGAGTCACAAACTGTTTCCAATCCATCCCCTATTCGTGAGAGCACAAAAAGTCGCACTTTGTGTGATTTTGGAGGGAATTCTCTTGAGCTACTGAATGAAATTTCATCGACAGAGTGGATTTTATAGCGTATCTTATCACTTGATGGATTTATTAGAACAATATAATTGACCACACCTTATCAATATGCATTGAATTGATGATATTGTATTACACATTCGTGTAGGAATTCGCCTTATCACGCTTTTCCGGGCGAGATGAATTGTTCTCCGTTCGAGACATCGCGGTTAATTCATCGTGGAAATTCTGGCCGACAGAGGAAGTGCTATTAATGCGCAAGTATGGCCCAATAGGTGCTGCGAAAGAGAGTTTGATAAGACAAGACACAATAAATTTGTCACTGCTTGTGGTACTTACTGGTCATTGGCGGCCAGTTGAGGTCTTCAGTTGATGGAATGCCGTTAATTGCAAAGGAAGTCCATAAGTTTACCATTTTCTTGGCTATTTTTGTGTCTTCTTCATTTAAATTTGCCGCACTCTCAGGCCATGGATACAAATAGATGTTATCGTCAGAATGCGCAACTCCACCTTTGAAAGGGTACTTTGAAGTGTCTTTTCCATAGCCGAATCTTGTATATTCTCCTTCGTAGTCGAAGGAATAGAGCCAAGTTTGCTGAGGATTTGCACAAGCATTCATTTGTGCCACTTTCAATACTGGACCTTTCAGCATTATTGTATTAACAAGGTCATACAGTCCATTGAGCATTTCGTGAAAATCTCCTTTAATCAGAGTTTCTGAACGCCACAAATTTGATCCCAGAATCGCAGCTAAAATTCCAGGATTGTCTGAATATCCGAATCTACTCAAAATCATGTGCACGAGTTTGAATGAATTGAAATTACTATCTGAAAAGCCCTTAAGAGTCTTGAAACCATCATAGAAGGACATGAGGAGAAATCCTCCATCATGCTTGGTAACTCCAGTCATCATGGGCAGGTTCTTTCGACCAGCGCCAGTTAGGAATATCTCGTCAGGACTTTGGTCCAAGAAACCAGAAGGACCGCCAACAACAGGCTTGGTTCGAGTGTTTTTCGCAAATGTGTGCAAAGACTTTACATCCATTTTCATTAGACACTCTTCGATCGCCTCAATTGATGAGGATTCATTGCACTGCCCTGAGGCTATTGCTGTCTTCCTGGCATCTCCAATTGGGTCTTGATGAGTGGCCCAGATGGCAAAAGAGCTGCCTGACTGAAGAATAACTCTGTGAAAGAGATACTCTCCAACTAGAGGACTCATTGTGAGATGAGATACAATTCCAGCTCCTGCTGATTGTCCGAAAGCTGTCACATTCTTTGCATTCCCACCGAAGTACTGAATGTACTTCTGCACCCATTCGAAGGCGAGAATTACATCAAGAATTCCTGCATTTCCCGGAATGGTGTCAGTCTTTGTGGCAAGGAAACCTAGAGGTCCTAACCGATACTGCGGCACAACCAGAACAATATCCTTCTCCAGCAGATAATTTGGCGGATGACGAAATGAACCTCCTTCATTGAATGCTCCTCCGTGAATGTAAACCATGACCGGATGGCATGCCTTCAAGTCTGTAGAGTAGACACAAAGGCTGATGCAATCCTCCCAATGAGGGTAGTTTTTCTCTTCCTCAGGTATTGCCTCAAAATCCGTGGCACTGGGAAATGTTCTTCCATACTCTGTGGCATCTTTAACGCCTTTCCACGGTGCAATTGGTACGGGTTTCTTGAATCTGAGCTCACCAACCGGCGCCTCGGCATATTTTACGCCCAGAAATTGATAGATAATCCTGCTAGTCCACGCACTTGTGGTTTGAGAGCCCCTCAAGCTTCCCAGGCTCGGAATATTCACAACGACTTTCTCAAAATCAACATTTGATAAGGCCATCACTACTGTATTGTAGTCTGATAATCGCGTTCTCTTATCGCCTGACAAAGTGATCACACTCGCTGATTGTTATGTAATATTTGTATGGGGTTTTTACTCCCACGAAACCGTGTATTTTCACTCAATGCTTGACCTAGGAATGGACAACTTTTCTTCGCACTTTGCTCTTCGAGCAACCGATGAATACTGTGCTCACTATGAATTGCAATGAAACTGATATAGGATTATGTGACAAGAAAAAGAGGGAGATTGAGCGTCACAGCTCAAAGTTTAGCTGAAGACTAAGCACAAAGCCAAAGTGGAACAGAGCGTTATCAGTTTCACACTGATGTTTTACACACAATCTCACAAAATGTTAAGTGCGTTTAGTCGCACGACACTTTATTATCTCTCTCATTTGCATTACCTCTTGATTGAAGAGGAAAAAAAGACTCATTTAAACCTTACTTAGCCTTGCGGAGTGTCTCGTTTCTCTTAAGATTCCTCTTTTCTTTGGCCACCACTCGGAATTCATCATAGTAATTGTCACCAATTGTGCACTCTTTGTCAATATGAAGATAAGGTCCAGCCAAGTCTGAAATGGTTTAAAATTTAAGCCACAATTTCTCTCCCTTGATGACAAGTATTTCGTAATCTCTGTACTTACGTTCCATTTTTGGCCAACTGGAAACTTGAGGAGAAGTTGGAACTCCGGTCGTCGCGAATGAAGTCCACAAGTCCACCAATGTCTTCGCAATTTTAGTGTCTTCTTCATTGAGTTTTGCCACACTCTTAGGCCATGGGAAGAGGTAGATGTTGTCATCAGAATGTGCAACTCCACCATCGAATGGATACTTAGAAGTGTCTTCTCCATAGCCGAATCTTGTGTGTTCACCTTCGTAGTCAAACGCGTACAGATACGTTGGATTGTTCTTGCGAATCATGTGGTACTGCACTTCGCGCAGAAGAGGGCCTTTCACCACCATGACACCCCCAAGATCAAACAGACCATCAACCATAGCGTAGAAGTCGCCTTTCTTGAGATCCTCAATGTCCAAGACTGACATAATTGCGAACGCCGCCAGAGCTCCTGTTTGCTCATCCGAGCCGAGAGTCTTGCAGATGGTATCAACCATTTGGAACTGATTGAACTTGTGATTGTCATAGCCAACCGTGTGCAGGAAGATGTCGCAGAGTCCAGTCATCAGGAAGGTGGCGTCGTGTTTGGCCACTCCGGCCAGCAAGGGAAGGTTCCGTCGTCCCTTGCCTTTGCGCATGAGATTGAAGGTCGTCTCGGGCAGAAGATTCGACGGTCCTCCAATGGTGAATCTATGTCCACCGAGTGTGTTAATGCCATTTGGTGTCTTGGCTTGCATATGATTAATGTGTGATCCCACAAGTGTCTTCGCGTCGACTTTCATCATGAAATCATTCAGTTCCTCAACCGAACTCCCCTTCGGACAGCCACAACGCTTGGCAATGTCGTGAGCATTGGCAACAGGGTTCACATCGTAACACCATGTGGCGAAGGAAGCACTTGAGGAGAAGATCGCCTTAGAGAACAGCTCTTCTCTCACCAGATCACTGTATGTGAGGATGGAGAGCAGAGTGGATCCAGCTGACTGGGAGAAAGCTGTGACTTGCTTTGGATCTCCACCGAAGTGTTGGATGTACTTTTGCACCCATTCGAAGGCCAGGATCACATCCAAAGCTCCAGCATTTCCCGGAATGGTGTCTGTCATGGTAGAGAGGAAGCCTAGAGGTCCAAGTCGATACTGCGGCACCACCAGAACCACGTCCTTCTCAAGGATATAGTCAGGCGGGAATTGATCTGCGGATCCTGTGTAAAATCCACCGCCATGAACGTAAACCATGACAGGTTTTGATCCACTCAAATCATTAGTGTAGACACAGAGATTGATGCAGTCCTCGAAGTCAGGAGTGATCTTATCGTTGGGCACAGATAAAATGGTGTTGTACGAAGGAGCTGGGCGTCCGTACTTGGTAGCATCCTTCACACCTTCCCAGGGCGCTTTCGGAACAGGTGCCTAAAATCACACACACACACGCATACATTCTCAGAAAATTTCTCTCTCTCTCAATAGCTTTCATTATCACCTTAAAGCGCAGCTTTCCAATTGGAGCCTCCGCATATTGAACGCCCAAAAACTGATAAATCATTCTGCCTGTCCATGCGCTCTTCTTCGTGGATCCTCGCAATTGTCCCTGTCCAGGAAGGTCAACCACAGGATTCTCCAGCGTTGAACTCATCAATCGCAACTGATATTCCAGAGACTTGCGCCAAGGCGCTGACGAGACTCTCTTTGCCAAGTACATTTTCACCACAACCTTCCTCGAGTGCGACTGTCGAAGTTTTCGCGGTGCTGCTTTTATACCTCCAGTTGCCAAGAACATAATCCTCCAGCTGAAAAATTGATTGTCTTATCGGGAAGAGAGAAAAGTGGAAAAGGTATAGATTAGTTAATACCCCTGGCTTTACGGGGGGAACGGATAGGAATTTAGGCTGCTGGTAAACAGATTCCTGACAGTGACTTAAGGACCCCCAGCAGATGTTTTCATCGGCCTGATAAGAGATAAGACGCGTGACAACATTCCATACGCAGCTTTTATTCAAACACTTTTCCATGCGTGTGATGAACCTGTTCCTCAATGTCTTTTCTGAACTTCCTGCTGTGATAGCCTTCGCGCGATAAAACTGTGAACTCATCCCTGAAGTCCTCGCCGACAGAGTCTGTCTGGTTAATGTGCAAGTAAGGCCCGACAACTTCTGCAAGTGTAAAGAAGACACCCTTTAGTCTCTGGAACTCTGGGTAATCCGGGAGATAATCCGAGATAAATCTTATCTTACCTGTCATCTGTGGCCAGTTGGGGACTTGAGGTGCTGACGGAATTCCGTCAATGGCAAAGGAAGTCCACAGATCAACCATTTTCTTGGCCATTTTTGTGTCTTCCTCGTTTAGATTGGCAGCACTTTCTGGCCATGGGAAGAGATAGAGATTGTCATCGGAGTGACTAACGCCGCCGTCGAATGGATACTTGGTAATGTCAGCTCCGTAGCCGAATCTCGAGTGTTGTCCTCTGTAATCGAAGGTGTAGAGCCAAGTCTGCTTGGGATTGAACTTGGCATTCTCCTGGACAGCCCTGAAAGTGGGTCCTTTGATAAAGAGAGCATTACAAATGTCAAACAACCCATCTATGAGAGCATAGAAGTTGCCACTAGTTAGGGCTTCCTTGCTGAAAACACCCTTGGACTGATAAGCCACCATTGTTCCTGTGACTTCGTGCGTTCCTAGAATGCGATTGTAGAAATCCAGGAAGTCAAATGAGTTGAAATCTTTGTTCTGGAAGCCAATAGTTTGACTGAGCACATCATAAACTCCTGTCATGAGAAATCCTCCGTCATTCTTCAACACACCAGCCATCATTGGCAGATTCCTTCTGCCACCACCCTTGGAGAGGATCTCATATGGTGTATCAGGGAGGAAATTTGAAGGCCCACCGATGGTCATTCGATGTCCACCAATTGTGCGAATCCCATTCGGAGTGCCAGTCATCAAGTACTTCATGAAGAGCATTACCAGAGACTGCGTGTCCAGGCCCAGAAGGAATTGATTGAGCTCCTCCACACTCGCCTTAGCACTTAGTCCGCCCAATTGGGCGATTTCTCTGGCATTCTTCGTAGGATCATGATCCCAAGACCAGGAAGCTGAGGATCCTCCAGATTGCAGAATGACCTTGCTGAACAGCTCCTCTCCAGCCAGCGGACTGTAGGTAATTGCTGACAGTATTCCAGCTCCTGCTGAGTGCCCCACAACTGTAACCTTCTGCGGATCACCTCCGAAGTGTTTGATGTTTTCTTGCACCCACTTGAGGGCCTGAATAATATCAAGAGCTCCAGCATTTCCCGGGATTGCTTCGGTCTGTGTGGAAAGGAAGCCTAGAGGACCAAGTCTGTATTGCGGAACAACCAGCACGACATCCTTCTCCAGTAGATAGTTTGGTGGAAATTGCCCAGCGTCACCTGAAAGTGTGAGTTTTGATGGCCTTGTAGTTTGCTTCCGCATATTCGCAGGGCTTAAATCACTTTATATTGTGTGATATCTTATCAGCCTTATCAACCCTTCAAGCACTTGTGCGTACCTTCAATGAATCCTCCACCGTGAATGTAGACCATAACTGGCCGCGATCCACCCAAGTCGTTAGAATACACACAGAGATTGACACAGTCTTCGAGATGGCCGTTTTTCGGGGGTTCCTTGAGCTTCTTCAGGACACTGTACATTGGACAAGGACGCCCAAGCATGGAAGCATCCTTCTCGCCTTCCCATGATTGGACAGGACGTGGAGCCTATAAGTGGATTCAGTAAATCGAGAACGTCTTAAGTGAAATCTGTGCGGTTTTACCTTAAAGCGAAGCTCTCCAATTGGCGCTTCCGCATAATTCACACCCAGAAACTGATAAATCTTCCTTTTGCTCCACGCAGTCGTCGCTGTTGATCCTCGAAGTCGTCCCAGACCGGGAAGATCCACAACTGGACTATCAGTGGATGAACTCATCCGCCGGATGAGGCATTTCACAGGTCTGCAGCTCCTCAGAGTCAACATCTTTCCACGAAATTCCGGTGGCAACTGAAGAGCCACATGAATGGCAGGGAATCTTATCGGACACAATTAATGCCCTTATCGTCACTGGGTTACATGCGAAAGTAGGTGTTTTTAATTAATCAAAACTTATCGTTTGTGAGAGTTTCACCTTGGCCTCAAGAGGGATTTCTGGGTGAAAGACGAGAAATGATAAGGATGACGGTTAAACATGTGAGTTTATCTGTTGCATTCGCTGTTATACGCGATGTGCTAAAGTGATGTGTCTTGGATGAATGTACTAAAATTCCTATAAGGAAATCCTCGGGTTTCTGTTCATCGTTTGACCCGTGACGCAACAAGGCCGTGTGGCCTAATGGATAAGGCGTCGGACTTCGGATCCGAAGATTGCAAGTTCAAGTCTTGTCACGGTCGAATCTCTTTTTTTTTTGTGCGAAAATTCTTCACTTTTTTTCAGCTTAAATAGCATTTTTCAATATCTCATAATTTATCTGTAAATTTTTGCAGAATTTAATCCTATTTTCACACACTAGCAACACATTGTCAACCGTAGGAAGGCACATGAAAAGCCACAGTGAATATTTGAGAGATGAGTTTAAGGTGTTTCCTTGATGGTTTACCACTAAACGTGACACTTCTGACGGATGTGGTGAAGGAAGAGTTGAGGCGAAATGGTACCAAGTGAAGTTTAATGAAAAGCTTCATGATTTCCTCAGTGTGATTCGACGAGGGGAAAAAGCCTTTCGCCTCACAGAATATTGCTATTGAAAAGTGCATGACAAAGTCAATAAAGTATGAAGACATAACAAGGTTTCAACCCAGGAAACGCACTGAAGATTAATTGCCTTCTTAATTAGGTGACCTGATGAAAATTTTGAATTTTATCTTTGATCCATTTGAATTTTAATTCACTCACACGAGTAAGTGACATTTTTCAAATTAAACTTATCACACATTGTAATTGCAATACTTGTTTTGCCATACGAATGTTGTCAGGAAAGGTGAAGAAATTATAAATTGTCCCGATAAATTTCTAGTTTGCTATCTCAAATGACTTTCTTTGCACTTTTTGTCGTGTGATTTCCTTTTGCGAGATTCGCCTTTGTCCTCTCTTCTTCATCTCTTCCAGCACAATGTGTTATTGTTTCTATATGGATTTCTTTTATTGAAGCTTTTCCGCCCTTTTATTGTTCATTAACATTTCCACACAGTTTTCCTCTTCCTAGCTTCATCCCCGACCCAAATTGGCCATGAGATGAGGGCGAGTCCTCGGTAAATTAGATGTGGAGCGACGCCTTGTTCCACTTTCTTCACACTCTTTGGCTCTCCTTTAAGGAAATGTGCATGCGAAGATGGCAAATAGGAGGAATTCCTTTTATAGGCTTCGCCTCTGCACGAGACATGCTCAAACAAAGGCAATACACTCAATGTGACAATTGTTTTTCACTTCTTCATGTCGCCAGAGCGCCAAGAAATGTATATACGAAGAGATTTTTCTGCCACATCTCGAGAGCAGCCACAAGTTTTCTAACTCACGAGATTTAATTAGAAACTTGCAATTTCTTCTGTCATGTTAGACACCAGAGGAAGAAGAAAAAAAATCCGAGGAAGTAAGGGTGAAAAAGCTCAATTGACGAGATGAACATTCACCCTCCTGACAATATCCCTCAACTTCTTCATTTTCCACCCTCGAGCTTTTTCTCGTTCAACATGACCCACAATGGCAAAAGAATTAATGAATTTTCGTTCATTATCTTGTACTTGAGGATTTGTTGTTTATTCTCTCTTGCTCTCTTTCCGTTTATATTTTTGGGAAATCATGGAAAGATCCATCAATATAAAATCACGAAGTGTTGCCAATGCCAATGTAAAATGCCACTTCTTCTGAACACTAGAACTTCGTCTAACTAATAGAATTGATGGGTGATTTATCGACAAATTAATCAACATATTAATCCGCATACAATCTCGCTTAATGGTGGTTTTGATTCTGAAATAATTGTATCTTTAGGAAATAGGCTAGTATTAGGCGACATAGAATAATTCATTTCCAGCACGAATAAGAGAGCATTATTTTAATACTTCAATCGGAACACATATTGGCCTAATTCTCCATTGCTTTGAACTCAGAGGAAACGTACGTTTTTCACTTAAAAGTTTAAAATTGTGTGATAAAACCTTCTAGTATCTGCACGTGCTTTAGCAGATTACATAAATTTTTTTACCAAAATTTAATTCAAACCTTAATTTTCTGACACTATCGAACACACTTATTTTGATTGTAATGCAATATGCAAATTCTAAAAGAGCATTTGAGGTTGGCATTATTTTTTCTGGTGTATAAAAGGTCGTAAATTTGTTGAATTCATTCAGTTTGTGCAAAGCCAATAAACAGTTGAAGTCGTTCAAGTGCAAAGTATATTGTAAAGGAAGATGAAGTGCTACGGAGTCATTCTGCTCACCATTTTCCTGACTCTCTTCGGAAACATCAATGCATGGGTAAGTTTATCTCTGCGTAATATTAACGTATTTAATTCACGGTTTCTTACTTTTTCTAAAAACATCTCTAAGGAGTTTGAAGAAGACGCACCTAACAATGCTTCATCAGGACGTACTTTAGGCGGATATTTGTTGCCACGCGATAGTGAATATAAGAGCAATTCTGCTGTTCTCATTCTATACTATGCGAGTAAAACTGATCGTGATCCAAGTTTCACTTGCACGGGAAGCATTATTTCTAAGAAATGGATCATCTCAACTGCTTTCTGTTTTGACAGTACGGAAAGGTCGATTGACTGTTTCGAAGTTCTAATCACTGATGCCAATGGAAAGGTGCACAAAAGAACTCTCGAAGTGGCTTATGCAGCGCCAGGGTATAAGAAAGAGAAGTTGAAAAACAACGTCGGACTTGCCAAGGTGAATAAGCCGTACGATCTTAGCACGGGCGCATTGACCGCAATCAAGGCGCCAAAGGAATCCTGGGACAAAACCAAGTTTCTCGATGACTTCTTGTCTGTCGCAGGCTACAGGGATCCTTACACAAAGCACAGTTATTTCGATTACGAACCGACTGTTGTTGTCGTATCGCCACGAGATCCCGCCGTTTATGAGCCTTGCGCAGCTTTTCCCAAGCGCAAAAATGAAGTGTGCGGCGCTACTGCGGATAATGAGAAATACGTGGTTTGCCAAGGTGATCTCGGCGCTGCTCTGTATTTGATAAGTAAGAAAGGTGAATTCTACCTGTACGCATTGGCTTCGTACACGCTGACAGACAAATGCGTGGGTCCAACTGCCTATGTTGTGATAAGCTACTTCAATCATTGGATTAAATCTATCGTACATGCTAAAGGGGATAAATTTTGAGAATGTTGAAGTAGGGACGAGTATGTCAAAATTATGACTAATAAAGAATAATCAATTCAGCAGCAATTCATCCCATGTTTCTTTTGGTTGTTTCCTAATATAAGCGACAATCGTAATTACTCTCATTTCAAATTTTCAACAGTTGTGAGTATTTGATGAGAATATTGATAGGATATTGGCAAAAAGTAAAATTTGACCAGAAATTATGGTAAAGGAAAATGATTCGTGATTTATGAGTTATGCTTTATGGGAATAGATTTGGATATTTGCATAGTTAATCTTACAACATACTTCAATTTACTTTAATTTGAATTATGGAAATCACACAATTTTTCAATAGTTCAAAAATGTTTGATAAAAAATTCTACTTTCTGCACGTACGCCCAGAGAGATAAATTTTTCGCCGCAATTTATTTCAAGCCTAAAATTTTCAGACACTATCAGTGACATAATATATTTTTTCCTTTGATTGCGGTGTGCAAATTCAAAGAAAAATTCCAGGTGGCATTATTTTTTGGGTGTATAAAAAGGCGTTTCGTTGCTGAATTCATTCAGTTTGTGCAAAGACAATAAACAGTTCAAGTCGTTCAAGTGAAAAAGTATATAGTGAAGGAAGATGAAGTGCTACGGAGTCATTCTGCTCACCATTTTCCTGACTCTCTTCGGGAACATCAAGGCGAAGGTAAATTTTACCTCAATACAACATTTATTACAAATTTTTAACTCTTATTTCTCTTTCCAAAAATCCAGTCGTATGATGGTGGGATTGACGCTGATCCATCCGGACGCGTTTTCGGCGGATATTTGCTGGGGCGTGAAGACTTCTATAAGAATAACTTTACTGTTCTGGTTCTACATTATGCGGATCCGAGTGATTGTGAGCCGGACTCTTCGTGCACAGGAGTTATTATCACTGCAGATTGGATAGTTTCAACTGCCTACTGCCTTGCAGATAAAATAGTTGAAGGTTTCGTACTGTTTATAACTGGTGCCGATGGAACAATTTATAGGAGATCCGTTACGGAAGTTCAAACAGCTCCAGGGTACGATAGTACAACATTCGAGAACAACGTCGGACTTGCACGAGTGGACACGCCATATGACTTCACCACTGGTGCACTGTCATTTATTTATGAACCAGATAGTTCCTGGGACAAAACCACTTTCTTGAACCAGAAATTGTCCGTTGCGGGCTACAGAGATCCTTACACAACGCTCAGCAATTACGATTTCGAGCCAACTGCCTTTGGCGTCTCGCCACGAGATCCCGCCGTTTACGCACCCTGCGCCGATCTTCCTGATCGCCCAAATGAAGTGTGTGGCGCTACTGTGGACAATGAAAAATACGTGGTTTGCCAAAACGATATGGGTGCTGCCCTCTACCCGGTAGACAGTGATGGTGCATTCTACTTCTATGGATTGGCTTCGTACACGCTGACAGAGGACTGCGTCGGTCCAACAATCTATGTCGTAATGAGCGCCTATACTGATTGGATTGTATCTGTCTTGTCTGCTTAAGAATCTTTCAAAACGTGAATATGTTGAAATATGACTAAAACTATGACCAATAAAGCATAATCAATACAGCAGCAATTAAAGTGATGTCATGTTTTGTCCGTATTTACTGCTAAATAGTAACACAATAACGAGACAACGAATAATGAAAACTCCGTGATTGTCACAATTCTCAGTTCTTTGAGCTGGAATTTGAGCAGTTTCTTTCACTATGTGGTGGATGTGATATAAAAAAAAAGATCTTCCTTGATGATTTAACTTGATTATGTGCGACTTTTGTTATCAAGATTCATATAATTGTTCTACATCACATTTGTCGTCGATATTGAATGTATTGTGGAAAAAAGTAATCTTATATGATCGATATCTTAAGTCACTGGATGAACAGGCTTCAGTTAAAACTTTTTGGTGGTTTTCTCTTGTTATTTTGTTCTCCACTCCCATTCCACATTTGTTCCACTGCACGTTTCGTTCGCTGGGAAAACCATTAATTACATTCTTAACAATCTCTTAAATGTTGACTGAGTTGCAGGTCTCTCGCTGTGGGTGGAGAAGCTCACAAAGTCCAAGCGCCAGACGATGTTCATTGGCTGAGAATTGAAAATGCGAAAAAGGAAGACGATGAATGGCCAAAGGAGGAATTCAATGGGAAATGAAATTCTGACTTCTCAACTTCTCAGCATTCCTCTTCCGTTCCTCCTCAAACCGAAAATACCCCTGATTTATCGAACGCAATTTCGCCCCCCGATGGATTGTAATTTCGAAGTTCTCTGGCTGGGATTCTTTGCCACTGCCATTCATTGAATCTCGTGGTGATGAATTCAGCGTTTCAGGAATGGAATTAGTCACCAATTGAGATGTTGATGAGAGTTGTGTGGCAATTGAGAGAGCAAAAATGCATGAAAAGTGCTTTTAATGTTGAGAAAGTTAATTAAGTCGCTGAAGTGATAAGGAAAATGCTTCATACACAGGATCTGCTTTTTTCTTTCACTAAAGTAAACATTATTATTGTGACTTGTAGCGCTCAGCAAGTGATGTGTAAAGATTTAATTAATGCAAATTTGTCAAGGATGAATCAAATGAATTTGCTCGTGATGCTCCAATGTTGGTTGTTTGCATAATTTAGCGCGACATACGGCAACTTCCGTCTCCACAAATCCAAAGCTTAGGGATAAGGTTTATGTGTTGGGTGAGGTCTGAAGCATTTCGCAGGAAATTGCTCAGCTTTAAGAGAATTTTCATCTAAAATGTCTCACCTAAATTTACTGTTCTTTTTACAATTCATGGCTTTGTATATGAATTACGGCAATATGTTTGCTATTTTGCTACCACTTTGTGAGAAATAGTTCACAGCTTAGCTTTTGCAAATAACACTTACAAGCTCTCAAACTACATCTAAAACCATCATCCATCAGCTCTTGTGTGGAAATTACTTTAGCAAATATGCGAAAGTTTCTTGTACAACACATCATCGCAATGCACGGGAATTTCCATCAATTATCCACTGTCAAACATGGCAAAATGAATACTTAAACTTTTCCTCCACACTCTCGAGTGCTCTCTAATGGTGGAAAAGTCACTCACACTGTGATGTCTCTGACGATTCACCCTCTTCTCGCTATAAGCAAGCCAGAATTCTGCACTCATCTCAATATTGCATTATCCGAAGCGAACAGTCTGCCGTTTAAACACATCCACCCATCACCGCCATGCAACTCGCAAATTGCACGCGAAAAGCTGCTAGAGCTTTTTCTTCCTCGACAAGACAACCCGACTTCCTAATTCAATAGACTGCGGAATTATTATTTATTGGCAAAGTTATGGACTCAATTGATTTATTATGCCATTCTCCGCTTCGCGAAGCCATGGAATGAAGATTTAAAAGCTCAACACACCCCTTCTTGAGGACTCTTGGGCGAGGTAGAAAGACGGGAAATTTGATGAAGTATTGCAAGTACAGAACATTTATATTCAATAAATTCTTTGGCTTCTGCACAATTATGTGCCACAATCTTCCACGACAATAATTGTTAATGCGGCTCTTGAAATTTTGTAATGAATTTATCAACATCGATGGAAAATCACAGTGATGAGGTTGATAAGCACAAGATTTGATCTTTCTAGAGGGTTGGGCGAACAAATGAATTGCACAGCATAATTGATATAACGCAAATACATCTTTTCTATAGAGACTTAAAACATAAGCAGTGTATCTGTGTTTATCCGCTCAAGAAGTTGTGTAGAATTTTATTCTTCATCTTCTGCAAATCTCATGCTAAGAATGATTGAGAATATGAATTCTGCTTTTCTCTTGGAATAAATGCTTTTCATTGTGAGTTCAGGATTATTATGTAAAGCTTTTTCCTTGCATATTACAAAGATCGACACAACAGGGTGGATTGTCTCCAGGTGAGGACAAACTTAGGGATTCACTGTCCATTTGTGGACAATTAACAGTCAGTGTGGCTGGAAAAAGTATTTTACGACTCATTAATAATTAAGATGAAATCCTCCTTGACTGCTCACTTGAGATTACTTGGCGGACCGGAAAAAAATTGGGGCCATCTAAATTGTGAAAGTTGGGGAAGAAGTCAAGGGAAAAATGAATAAAAGAAATAACATCTTCTTATGAATAAATAATAGCGGTGAGGACAAAGGAGAATGTAAGGGAGGAAAATTGTCGTCATTAGAGGGTGGCGCATGGCAAAAAGTGGGCATAAGAAAAACACCGCACTCAGCACCCCATCGTAAACTATAAAGGAGAGGAAATGGCTGAAATAAATATTATTTGATAATGACTCTCAACGCTAATAGTTGACTTTTGGGGTAGAATTCGGCAATATGGCTCTTTTGTGACATTTTTGAGCACAGTATTGATTTCTTCGAAACAAAGTCATGTCTATTGTAAATAGATGAGATTTGCATGGAGACACAGCAAAGAGCTTTTTCCTGTCCAAGAATTTCAATGGCTGACCGATTTTTAAGTGAATTTGATTGAGTTTAGAGAGCTAATACAATTTCGACAACATCGAAAAGCTTCCACACTAATGAATGCGGCCGAAAGTGGTGAGTTAGAGGACACTGTACTCAATTGTTGTGCATGAATTGGAGATAAATTCGACAACAAACTTAATTATGAATGAGGAGTTTAGGAGGTATTTTAGCTTCTCAGACTTTTCAAACTCTTCTCCCTTTGAGGCAATTACCAATTGATAATTGAATTGCAAGTTTCACCACAGTTTTGTATGGTTAGCAAAATGCTGAATATATATATATGGAAAATATCAAGATGGAATCACGTCTCATCTAATGATAATCAAATGGACATGGAAGTTCCATTGCGAATTTGGCGCTATGTGTGTGTGTGTGGAAAAGAGGGTGGAAAAATGGGGTGAAACCAATAATCATTTACCTCACTCATATCCATGGGACAATTGTCCCCATAAAACGTCCACATTATTGTCCATTTGGCCTTCTAAGTCCGGAATGTTGAACCCTTCGGGTGTGCCTCAGTTGTTTAACATCACCAAAAAGTGAATTTTAATTCGGTCATGAGAGCTGAAGGGCCACTTTCGCATTGGAGTGACTCCCAAAAAGCCATCCTCTTGACTATTAATCACTTAATTGAGGTGCGAGTCCCTTTTCTTGTCAAAGTGGACAATTATTAATGGACACTCCTCTCTTGAGTCATTGAGCAAATATTTCTCGTCTTTCATGAGAAGTTTGTTCTAAGAATTTGTCTTGGAAATTGATTAAATTTGATATTATATTGGAGCTCTTGGGGTTAAAATGTTGAGCAATTTCTCAATATGACATAAGTTGGAGACGAATGCATGAGAGTTCTCGAATAATTAGTTCAGTTTACAAGCCTATTCGACATTCCAATTTTCCCTCTAGAATCTCTCTAGAGGGAAATGCTGCATGCGCTTGTGTTCAATTCAAAAGTCCACCTGGGGTTGTCTACTAGGATTGCACATGAAAACAATATACACAAGTTATGCATTTTGAATTGCCAAGTAAATTCATATGTATAGATAGATTGTTCGAGTGGCAATTGGAAATTATGTGCAATACAGCGGCATTATGATTTTCTCAAATTCCAAGCATTCCAAGAGAGCTCAAAGTGTTCTTTCAAACCACACGCACGCAGCATGGCTCTGAAGCATGCATAGTTGTATGTTCTATACAAGTATAGAATCCAACGATAGAGCGTGTGTGTACTTTTCCTGGTCATAAGGAGAGTGCTTGGCCCCATTTGAACCCCTGGCGGAAGATGCCTTCTGTGCGAATTATACGTGAAAACGACTCTCACAATTATCTCTATCTTGATTAAAACGACCACCACAGAGTTTCTGGTGGAGAGATGGTATGAATTTCATCATGCGGCGGCACCAATGCTCCTTCGGAACAATAACAATTTTCCCTTCAAGACATGAGCGCACAGGAATTGCCACTGTTGGAGAGAGCTTTTTCTTATGCGTGAATCGACACACACGCAAAATTTGGGTCGAGTGCCGAATCTTTTGCCCCAGCAATTTTCCACCCACGAAGATATGTTGGGGGGGGGGTGGAATGTGTTCCACCCCCTCAGATTTCCATGTATATTAATTAGCCATTAGGATGGGGGTTTGGACGGCAGAAGTGGTGTGAGGTGGTGTCCAAATCGCAAAGCTCCATGATATTTCCACGAATCCCAGGCTGGTGTTTATTTGAAAATTTCAATTATGTCCAGGGTGAAATAATTCTCATGAAAATGCAATTATTGTGCAGTCTCGGGCAGTACACTCTCTAATCCTCAGTGTTTCCGTGGAGAATAATACCGATTTAATTAAAATCATCCATCCTGTTTTGATCACCCAATTATATTGGCTCTTTGTTCATGTCTAAAGACTTCAATCTCCGATGAAATTCAATTAGCGCAGCCAGAGAATAATATAGTGGAGAACACTATAAGAACTAAGAATCTTTGGAAAATTACGAGGATATTAAAATTATGCAATATACTCATCAATGCACTTGGAGCAAACACTCCCACACCTTCGCCATGAGTTATCGTGATGGGAGGCTAAAAGGTTTCGCCGACTGTACGTCAATTAAGGCAGGTATTTAATAGAATTATTAATGACTGTTACGCACATTAGCACAGAGGAAGTGAATTCTGTCGCAATAATCGCAATAACTAATGAAGGAAGTGGGGAAATTGTATAAGACACGTGAGAGGATGGATTCTGTGCGAAGTAGACGTGTTAATTAGGTGTACACGGAGCTCGATATGGATCCCTACAATTTCCCTTTCACTGAAATGTTAATGGCAACACCTTCTCAATTCTCCTGGCAAATTGAAGGGAGAGCACCGACTCATACCATTTATCAAATTTACATACGAAATGCCAACATATGCTTTCAAGAGGAGCTGGCGAAAGGGTGCCTTTTTGCCAAATCGACATCACTCGAAGCCCCTGCTAATGGACTGCCACAGGTGAAGTTCCTTCAAATTGCAAGTGTGACTAATATTTATGTACACACCGAACTGTGGAGACCCTTTTTGACGGAGTTCATGCCCGCTGGGACTTTTTCTTTGCCATCGGAGAATGGCGTGTTTACCCATCATGTGCCAGTCTTATTAATTTTATCAATCTTGCGCGCCCCCGCAAAGCGGCGCACCTGTGCGACAGGAAGTAATTTCATCTCGTCTAGGTATTCCCACATCCTTGGCACCTCTGCACAAATCTCAATCATACACTCCGTATGCGCGTCTGTGAGTCGTGACTGCGGTATTTTTTAGTTCAATCACCTTTCACCCATATTTTTTGCCGCTGCTACATGCTAATTTCCACATTTGTCTCGCTGTGCAGAGTGTGGCTAGAGTTGGCTTCTTGGATTCTCGCGCCTTCTAGTGCGCTGCATTCAAGTGAGGTCAATACCATCGAAACACGACGAGCCACGGAGGGAGTTCATTTATCAGAATGTCAATCAACGTACACACAGCTCTGCAACACTTTCAAGACTTTCCCATTAAATCCAATTCTAATGAGCAAAGAGATTCACTGAATCAGAGTTGATCGGGCTCTAGATTGGAGATATCACAAGTCTTGAGAGCCAGTGGAATTATCTGCCCTTTTGCTCATCATCTCATTTGAAAAGATAAAAATTCTATCAGAAATTCAGTGCATTTTAAATCATTTATCTATATTGAGCATCTTGAAAGTTAATGCCTCAACTCTGAACCAGAACCAAGCACTTTGAGATAGTTTCTTGTATACTGAACAGGTTCTCTCTGCATGATTTTCACCTCATCATCTCTCCGCCTTTCACGCGAGCTACTTGGCGTATTTTCTTGGGCTATAAAAGAGGCAATTCTTGGTCGATTCTTGATCATCTGTTACTCAGACTCCAGTCAAGTTCAAGCCCCAGTGTTGTGAAATGTGCAGAAAAGTGCTCTTCCTGTTATTCTCCACGACAGTTTTGTCGTTGGTGATTGCGTATGACTTCTCCGATCCCATCTACAGTAAGTAGCGACAGCGGAGAGAGATGGCTTTTGCCAAAGTTAACAATGTAATTGCTCCATATAGATTCCGTGCTGTCGACTGAACTGCTCGAGGCGCTAGATGATGAGGAGATTGATGTGAATGTGCCGGTGAATTATCGTGCACGTCGCGACGCACCTCCTGAGGATGATAAGAAGTGCAAGCCACGGAGATCTGGCTGGATGTGCTGCCGGGATCAAATTGAGAAGACTGATACTCATGACAAATTGAAGGAGATGAAGAAGCAGTGCTACCAAGAGATTCGCGCCAATCACGATGACGCTGAGCCCTTTGATATGTTCTCATGTGAGCGTCTCAAGAGGATCAGGCAAGACACGGAGTGTGCCAAGGAGTGCATTGCCAAGAAGCTCGAATTCGTAAGATAATCCCTCAATTTACCATGAACTCCCAAGTCACTCAAGCGCGGGGATTTTTTTTTAGCTCGACGAGAAAGGTGACTTCAGGGCGGATTTCGTCAAGGACTTCTTCCGCAATGAGTACACTGAGGCTCAGTGGGCCAAGGAGGCGTCCGACAGCGTGGTGACCAAGTGTCTGGCCGAGGCTGAACAAGAGAAACTGCCCGCGGAGAGGAAGTGCAATCCCAGGCCCATTAAGTTCTACTACTGCATGTGGCGAGAGTTCTCCGTGATGTGTCCACAGGACAAGAAGAAGGACGGCAGGTTGTGCAATCGCCTGTACAAGGGCGAATTCTTCCTGCCCAAGAATCCCGAGGAGGCCGACGATATGAATTGATTCCGAAATTCTCAGCAAGAATTTATCATTTTCACAGCAATAAACGACTGACTTTCCACATTATTCTAATAAAGATCTTCAATCTTTGATCACTATTTCTTTTATCAAGTACTATTTTAAGTGTGCAATACAAAGCTTTTTCGTATTTTTTTTTTGTTCTCTCGGTTTATCTATAAAAGAGACTATAAAAGCTCGCATTTTGAAATTTGACAGAGCAAAATCAGCCAATTTGCCACGATGAAACTCATTTCAGAAGCGCGCCATGAGAGTGTCCTAATCTCACGAATTTCCCGTAGATTTACCATTAGAGCTCCACTGTGAAAAATTCCCAGGGCCAAATTGGAGTGAAATTGCACCATCATGTTCCCAGTAGAATGGTGAAAAATTAAATTCACCATCGCTCTACAGCTCACATCTTCCCCGGCAACATGAAATGAATGATTCTGCGGTGGAATGAGTGAAAGACGGAATTTTTGTGATAGTCCTGCGGGCAGTTTTTTTTCTCCTTTCTGCGGAGAATTTATGAATTTTTATGTTGTGCCCAACAGGGATATTTTGCTCATTGTTCTTTTGGTTGTACATCATATGAATTATTATTCCTTTTATCAACATGCAACGAGAAGTGACTCTGACATGTTGTTTTTTCTACTTTTGCCACTGACATTTCAGAGAATGCATGAAATATTTCACACTTTGGTCCACAGTCATCAGGAGACTTTAAAGTGCAGTGAACTAAGCTGTGTATGGCCTGAAATTATCTGCCAAAGGGCCCAAAAGTGGCGTCTTAAGGTGAGTGAAAATCATGCTGAGTGGGCAGAAAGTAATAGACATTGGATTTATTGCGGTTTAGCGAGTGTATATGGCTTTTCCACCCCTCCAGGATGAATTGCATGTGAGGAATATTTGCTATTTTCGCATGGATTTTCCAACATTTCGCATCTAGAGATTTCCCTGGAAGATTTTCCACTCAGCAATAAGCAATAAATAACCGTGAGCACGATGAGGAGGTGTGCTTACCATCGTGCAAATGAGGGCGCACACCCTCGGGCCAATTCACCATCACAACTTCCAATCCGCCAAGAAAATGTGTATACAATCACGAGGTGAGATCAAAGTGTAATTCCTCACGTTGCCATCAGCCACTTTCCTCATTTCTTTTACGCCCCGCAGCGGAAGTTGAGACGTGGCTCCTTCGCGAGTTGCCTTTTGCCATCTTAATCTAATCAATTGCCTGAGTGCGGGGTGTAAAAAGAAGGAACGTGGAGCACACGAGATTTCAGTCGGAGGGAGTATTGCAGAAGAGATAAATGGACTGAGGAGGAACGATTCTATGGAAATGGTGTACTGTTTATAAGCACCTTTTGTGTCTTCAAAATCCTTTATATTGTCTTTGGGGAGAAACACTTGGCAAGTGCAAGCTACTTAAGGTGCACCAGAAATTCTGAGAGATTAGTAGATCTCCTAGGACAACCGAAGCTTTGCGACCGAAATGCAAAGCCAATCGTTGCAATTGCTACGTCATGTTGTAACTTCCTAAGCCTTCAACGCAAAGATAGAACATGACTTGGTACATGATAACATTGAGATGGCACAAGTGATGTACGCAATTTCCAGTGAAACACCTTCCCTGGCAACCGTTCTTATGATAATCTCGAGATCTTGTGCAGAACACTGAAATTCTCTGTGTGATTGAAATTTACTCATCCCCTCGATTGTGCTGTGAGTGTGTGTTATTGTAAATGTGCACCTGCAACATTTGAAATAATTGAATTACACCCCTTCGCAATACATTGTGCATCGCATCCAAACATCTTAGGGAGGCTCTTTAGGGAATGATTGAAAATTGAAGATAAAGTGAGGATAATGTTCCGTAATCTCTCTGTGTATGTGATATTGCAATTTTGCAACTGAAGAGAAGAGTGGATTTCATGGAGGAAAGGACTCGTGTGCACGCTCCCACGGATGGGGAGTTGAGAATGCCAATAACTCGCTGTGAGAGTGCATTTGTATCTTGAATTCACAATAAGGGAAAGAAAAGTTTTGGGAGTGAGAATCGCCGAGAATTGACGAGCTTTCAAGGAGATGAAAGGATAGGAAAATTGATAGATAGAAGAAAGTTTCTCGTCTCTTGAGAGACAGACACTCTTTGCTCTTTCAATTTTCCTTCCCAGACACTGGAAATTATGTTTCCTTCTGCGTCAGATAGAAACTTATGATCTTATTCAGTATTAGCAAAGTCTTCTCTCTGGATATAAAATGACAGATAAAAAAAATTGTTCCCACTCACTTAATTATTTATATATATATAATTTTTCTCTTCCACCTTCATAGCGCTCAGATGTGTTTGGCACCATGAATAATAGTTATTGTGTATGCTGAGCGTAATTGAATTTCCGTGAGAGTTTAGCGGGATGAAAACTCAATGTAATTTAGGGTATTTCATTATGTTTTAACGTCCTCAATCTAAAACAGCAGTTATGAATGAAATTATATAGTAAATAACGTGATTAAATTTGCAATACATTCTCGCATAGAATGGTTTAATGCCATGACACAGAATCCCGAACAGAAATTATGTCATTAACCGTAAATTGGATACAATTGTAGTAATTGATTACCAAAATTCCAATGAATTAAATCAACAATGAGCAAAATATTTAGTAAAATATACCAAGTTCTGTAATAATTTTTGCGACAAGTCCATGATTTCTATTTCCATGAAAAGCTTCTTCACATTCCACGTGACTTGTGCTTAATGGAAATTTTGTAATACATACACATGGGAATTTCCTCAATATACAGTGTCATACTTCTTAGTAGCTATCTTAGAAAGCAGACTTATTAAAATGCTTATCCTCGATGGTCTCCCGAAAGGTGAAGCTTAGCATATTTCTAATTCTTGGCAACATCACAATAATGTGTCAAGAATCCCTTGAGAATGTCAAGCAACAACCCCTCATCGGCGACATTGTGCCAGAGGGATGAAGGTAAATGAGAGATTGTGCAACGAGCACAAAGGGGATGAAAACTTCATACAACAGAGAGATCCCATTAATTTTAATAATCACTCTCTGCAGCACAGTCTCTGGGAATTACAGTCGTCTCATGGTCGTTACGGGAAGAGCTGCATATTATCTATTAAACAAAGAACACGACACACACATTAACTTTCTTTCATGTCGGACGGAAACAAGGCGCACTCCGCCGGGCAGGAAGGGTGGCTCCAAATGACCAAGAGCCTTGCAATATTTCTGATAAAACGCTCCACCATTGTCACATGAAACTGTCTCTTCAGTTGAATTTCCGCGATTGTACAAATCAAAGGAACAATTGTCGACCTTCCGCCGCTGCAAGAAACTCCTTAATTGCAATATTCATGATGGCGCATGAAGTTGAAAGCGTCATTGCAGTCTAAAAGATTATCTAATGAATCTCCAACATTTGGCACAAAAATTGTTCAAAAGTCTCACTATTTTCTACACATTGAAAGTGTGAAGATGCTGAGGAGTACACTTGTTTGATCCTATTTCACGCAAAATCTTCTTAAAACTCGTCTCTTGTGCTCTCAGGATGTTTCAGTAGTGGTGCGAATATGAGCTCAAAAAGCTCTCGACACTTCACTCTGGCAATTATTAATTCTACACCGTCGAGTGTGAGTTTAAAATGTGCCACACGATGACGATATTTCATGTTGTTATCGTGAAAGTTTGAGCAAATTCCAAGCGTTTTCCCACCATAGAGCAAATGACATGAAATATGGCGTGCTGAAGTAAATTAATTGATCTTGATAATCAAGTCCCGCACATTTTGACTAAATGCCTTCTCTCTCGCCTTTGCATTGTACACACACACACACACAGTCTGATGAATGAAGATGGATTGTGGCAGCGGAAGGAAGCGCCGCCACGCGAATATCATCCACTTCAGCAATTTTGAAATCACTTTAAATTCACAAAATGCATTCCGCAATATTGCCAGACACGATTGCGTGTTTCACGAAAGAAGTGATATGAAGATAAAAGCATATAAAATGAAATCTCATTGGCTTCAAATCCTGCTTTTTATTATATTTGCAATGCATTACGTTGCACTCATCCCTGTAATTGGCTTTATTGAAGCTCTAAAGTCCAAATCTCATTTGGAGATCAATATTATACATGTCAATAGACTTTTTCACATTTTTTTTTATAATGTACATATTTTTTATACATATTTCACACGAATGAGTTGTTTTTTTTTAAATAAATTTCATGCTTACCGTCACTCGAAATGGAACTGATTTTAATTGACCAAATCCAAATTACTCCATTTCTCCAATAATCCAACAAATTCCCGTCAAGTAATGTCAATAAATTGATTTCGACTTTCAATCAATGACGATGAATAATTAAATTCTCTGCACACATTAACAAATTCCATGGGCAATAATAATCCAAAATTTTGCTCCTATGTACATAATTTTGGTCGTGTGTGCAGAGTGTGTATGGTAATTTTCATGGGGAAAATGCAAGTCAGTGGTGAGGAAAATTTTGAACAATCGCGCGTGAATTTTCCATTTCAGCGGAGTTGGGAGTTTTATTGATTAAAATCATTTGTCTAATTGACATGCTTTCGTGCGTAAGCAAGCATTTTAGGAGGATAAAATTTACTACTCTCTCTCTCTCGCTCTGGCTTGTGGAAAATCTTCTGAAACCTACTCCCAAAAAGCTCTTCTATGTTGTGTAGAAAGCAACGTGAGAAAGTTTTGAGCTTTCCGCTCAAATTCATCTCACGAAAGTTACTCTTTACAGTGTCACAGCAGCAAATTCCGCATCCTTTTGTCGAAAACTCTCAAACCATTTATTTTAGAAATTCTAATTTATCATTTAACACCATGTCAGACATTATTCAATTAAGCTTATTGGATGGAATTTCGCTCAGTGACATGATTCGGGGAGTATTTCCGTTGAAATTGTGAGGAATATGCAGATTTATAGAGTGCTTCTGGTTTGGAAAATCATAAATTCTGCGGCACTTAATTGTCATTTGACGTGCCTTTCGCAAATTAAGACATTCCTTACGCATTT